TAGCCGCCACCCCCGCCCTCCAAGCAGCCGCCAGCAGCTGTCCCAGGCTCTGCTTTGAATTAGAAGTGGTGTGGCCCTTTAAGAACCCCCCCACCCCCTGCTCCTTTGAAGTCTCTGTTGCAGAAAGGCAGCCTGGTGGCAGATCTAAGGGCTGGCGTCTGTCTCCCCGGGGCCACGTGTGGATCACAGGGTGGAGGGGGCGAGCTCGGGTCACATGGCTGCCGGCCCTGCCTGGCCTGCGCTCAGCCCCATGGAGGTGGGAGTGTGGGTACCAGCAGGCTGTGAGGGATGGGGACCAGCCGGGAGGAGCGAGCGGCCTGGAGCTTATTAAGACTTGAGGCCATGCCGTAGGCTCAGCATCGGGAGCTCAGAGGAGCCCCGGCAGAACTTGGGCCTTTGCAGATGGTCTCCTCACAGTGTGACCGCCCTGGGGCCCTGATGAGCTAGCTGCAGTCCCAGGGGTACTGGGCGTGGGTGGGCAGTCTGCCAAATGACTGGTGGGGTCCAGGCCCCTGGGGTCTGGAACTGGGTTCAGAGAAGCCCACACAGTAGTCTGCCCACCACTGGAGGAGGCATGGGGGACATCTAGGTCTCAGTCCCCCTTGGCTTGAGGGTGTCTCCTCTGGGTGAGAGCACCCCAAACTCCATGTGCTGAAGATTCCTAGGACAGGCTGTGGGCCTTCCCAACAAGGACCATGAGGCTGCTGACGCCAGGCCTGCGAAGGTCACCTGGTTCCCAGCACCAGCCAGAGCAGTAGCAGGAGGATCTTGGAGCACCAGGCTGGCCTGGTGGTCCTGCTTCCGGTCTCCCTCGCTTTGCTAATAAGATCCCTGGGATAGAAAGGGTCCCAGCTGACATGGGGGATGGGAAGGGGGCTTTGGAGAAAGCAAAACGGGATGGACAGTCTGCAATTGCACACACTGGCCTTGAGCCGCTGGCAGGGGAGGGGCGGCTGTCCTGCTTCCTGCCCACTTGGGCCTCAGAAGCTAGCAGCCCAGGAGGTGGCTGTGTGGGGTGGGCGGCAGACAACAGCTGGCAGCAGCTGGGGGCAGCGTAGCTCATACTGGGTAGCCCTGGGAGAAGGGTTTTCAGGGCCCCCAGAGGGAAGGCAGATAGCGGCATAGAGCAGCCGAACCTGGTGACGCCTCTGGGCAGGTCAGCGGCCCTCCTCCTTCTCCCCCAGCATCAGCCACTGTGCAGGAACCTAGACCCTGGAGTTCATTAGGTCACACGTGGGCCCAGCATCCAGGGAGCACAGATCCTAACTCTGGTTTCCAAAATGCTCTCTCTCGGAGACCCTTTCACAGATGTATGCACAGGTATCCTCCCCGGAAGGGAGGTAATAAGACTGGACCCTGGGTTCCACCCTGCATCTGGGATACCAGCTCTGAGAGAAGCGAGCCCACTCCCAGCTATTCCTTTCCCCAACTCCCTTGCAGTTAGGTTCAGCATGGGGCCTAAGTTCAACCAGAAGCATCTGCCGCAGACATGGATGGGAGGCAAGGGAAGTGATGTGGCACCCACCCTGGATATGGGCATACCCCTCCATCCCACAATCGGTGGCACCTATGGCTCTAGCGGTGGCACCCCGGGATCAGTGCAGCAGGATGATAAAGACATTATTTCTGCTTCTTGTCTCCAGAGATTCAAGGAACTTCCTAGTAGCAGGAACCTCATCCTGACTGCCCCTCTGTTTACGGTTAGCTCAAAGGTTTGGGACTGGCCAGAGGCAATACCTGTAAACATAGTGTGATCCCTTGTATCCCTCCAACCCGACTCCCCACCCCAGTACCTTGCATCCAGCCTCCTTGAAAATCCCACCACACTCTGGTAGCTGAAATTCCTGGGATGGAGGACAGGGGATCGGTGCCCCTGCTTCGGGGCTACTACCTCGTTGCCTATGGGACTTTGCAGGCCCCTGAAGGGTAGGGAGGTTCCATTCCTAATTCTGCTACTGGTGTTAAATAAACCAAAACATGGGCTCCTTTTGGTTCAGTGTGCAGGTCAAATGCCTTATGGCAAATGCAACTTCTACCGTCCTGAAATTCGGCTGGTAGCCACTCTGCCCTCGGCCTGTACCATGCTGAGTGCATTCACTCAGGAGTTCCTGCTGATGGGACTATGGGCCCTGCCCATAGTTTGAAACAAGAGGTAACGGAGGCACTGAAGAGGTCATGGGCCTGGCCCAAGATCGCCAGCCAGGAAATGGCTCAAAGCCAGATGGCACAAAACACCACTCCACACAGCCCTGCCCTGTCAGTGGGGCATAGCATTCCCTTACCTGGGCCTTAAAACAACAGCTTCTTAGTGTAGAGAGGAGGCTCTGGGTGACACAAATAGAGAAGGTGCTCAGTTGCCAACCACAAGGTTAGGGATGCAACTGTACCCAGAGGCACCTCAAAAGACAAGCTTGGCAATGTGGTTCTGGAAAACCAATCATTGAAAACCCTAGATAGCACAGTTCTGCCCTGAAGTACAAGGAGACACCATGAGGAGGAACTGACTCCATGGCAAATGGTTTGGCAAAGAGAGGGCTCTTGGAGCTCTCCCTCAGCGTCAAGTATGCTAGAGCATCATTTACAGGTGGTCAGCCTCCTTGCAAGGGCTGAACCTGCTGGGGGTACACCAGGGATTGGACTGTACACAAAACCACTGCCTCTGGCCAGTCCCAAGCATGGCTTTGAGCTGACCAACAATGGAGAGACGGTGGGTATGGACTTCCCGTGAGCGGAGCTGGACACCAGCCTCAGCTCTGTTGGCGTCTCTGAGTCTCACTGGTCAGTGGTACGGGACCTGTTGGGAGGATTTGGGGCACAGCCTCCTGTTTGGCTTGGGGGTCCCAGCCCAGATGGACTGTAGGAGCTTAATGGGGTGTTCGCCTTTGCTGTCTGTGTTAGAGTGGCTTGCACCCTCTAGGATTTCTCAGGGGCTCTCAGAGCTTCTATGTTGTCTCTCACTGATCCTACCAGGGTCTGACCAGAATAGCCTTTCTTGTGTGGGGAGGCTGGTGTGCAGAACTCCTTCCACTGACTGGTTCATTCAGCCTGGGGGTTGGTGAGGATGACCCAGGAGGGCCAGGAGGGTGATCCCATGCAACTCAGACAGGAGACCGCTGCCTGGCAGCCCCCAGCACTTTGCCTGCCTGTCTAAAGCCCCAGGAGATGCTATGGGGTGACCACAGAGCTACTCCAACAGAAGGCAGGCTCCTGACCAGTGGGATTAGGAGGAGCTCTAAATGCATCATGGGATAAACCTTGGGCTACTAACCACAAGGTCAATGGTTCAAACTTACCAACTGCTCCGAGGGAGAAAGATGAAGATTTACAGGCTCCGAAGCCATAGGGAGTAATTTTACTGTTCTATGAGTCAGAATTGACGGGATGGCTGTAGGATTTTCTATAAACCCTCACCCCCAACTCCCAGCCCCAAACCGGAAGCCTGTTTCCAGTTTCTACAATGGGTGCAATGATCGACCTCCCACATGGGTAAATGAGGAAACTCCTATGGTGCGGGTGGAGCACCTTTCCAATGAATGCCCCCTGCCCCCCAAGACGGGGTAGGAGGCTTCCTGAGCACACAGCTGCCCCCCATGTGGGTGTCCGAGGAGGGGGTCCATGCTGTACCCGGGGACCCCAACTCAGGACGAGGGAGGGAGGTAAAAGAGATGCTCAGACGTCAGGCCAGACGGCACGATGGTGCCCGGCAGCACCTCCGCTCCTCGCCCCCTCCCCCAGCAGCCGCAGGGTCACAAGCGCTTGTTGGAGTCGAACACAGGATGCAAACTCACTCCGTCACCTCAGTAAGCTCCCCTCAGTCCTCCAAGGCCCCAGAGAATCTGCCCACCCTACTTCTGGTCAGGGAGACTCCCCTGCGGCGCCAATTGGGGCGCCAGGTCCCTCCCGCGAGTAGCCGAGGGCGCCGGGGCTCGCACCGCACCTGTCCGCTCCTTCGGAGGCCCCGGCGCCGCCGCTGCTGGCCCCTCGGCGCGGAGCCTTGTGTCCGCCGCCGCTTTGATCCCGGGGCCCTGCTGGATAAAAGTGCCGGGTGGATCGTCGCCAGCGCCAGAGGGGGAGCACAGCCGAGCTGGGCGCACCAGCCCGGCAGCACAGAAGGACGACGCCGGAGGCGGCGCGGGCCTGGCCGTGGTGAGCGCGGGTCCTGGGACCGTTCGGGGCGGAGGGGATCTACGGGAGCCCTAGGTCCCCGCAGGCTACTTGGGGCGGCGGGCGGCCCTGGTCACGGGGGAAGCCAGGCGGCTCCAGGTGGGCGCAGCCGCCCGGCACCCTCGCCCGTCGGGTTTGGCCCGCAGCGGACTCTCCCGGGCGGAAAAGCCGCGCTCTGAGCCGGCGGGAGCAGGCGCGGGGGCG